ACGCGCCGCCCGCTGCGGGAGAGCGCCGCCGAGAGGTAGGCCTGAACCACCCCTGTGCCCTGGACGACGACGTCGAAGGCGGCCCGCGCGCCCAACGCGGGCCCCGCCGTGTCGTAGCGCCGCCGGATCGCGTAGCACCGCACCGGCTTCCGCACCTCCACCGGGCCACGGTCCTCGGGGAACATGAGGGGATAGTCCTCCTCGTCGATCTGCTCGCAGGCGAGGCCGCGGGCGGTGCACTGGTCGAAGAATTCGAGATCGTGCAGCTGCTTGTGCGCACGGTGGTGTGAGAAGACGCAGTAGCCAACCGCCTCGGGGTTCTGTTTAAGCGTCTCGGCTAGCGTATCGGCAAGGTCATCATTGCACACGTGGTTAAATAGAATGTCCGACAGAATAACGACATCAAAGCCGGCACCGGCAGTATAGCTCATGACCTTGTTGATGTGCTCACCATTTCCCCACAACAGAGGCTCTACCACCACGACCTTTTCACCCCGCATCAGCGAATCGCCCGGGGTTTGTGAACCTTCCTCGGGCAGACGTCCCTTCACACCGCGAGGTTGGCAGTTCACCTCGACGTTGCGCTCGAGGATGCTTAGCAGATCTGCGTCGGGGTAATCCGTAACGACACATAGCCGTGCCCCGTTGTGGAATGCCGCGAGCGAAGGCACCCCGAGGCCGGCCCCAAGCTCCAGAACCGTTTTCCCACGCACATCGATCCACCCCATGTCCATCCGCTTTACCAGGTACTTCGCGGCGTTCCAGAGCCGATGCCCCCACAGACTATGCCGCTTATTGCGGTAATACACGACGATATCGGGCCTCGCTCCCGCGTCGTCCTCCACGGAATCTAAGCCTCCGTCGCGGTGATCGAAGCGATCTCTGAGTGGCACGAACCCCACGTTGGTGCAGCCTTCACACGCTATGGTGCGACGATCAATGACGATCTTTTCAATAGGGTACTCCGGTACTACCTCATCGGTGTTGAAGAGGCCGCCGAGGATTTCACCACTTCCCTCCTCCATCGATGCCTTTGAGCAAAATGATAGACCTCCTTAGGTTTAAACTCGACAGGCCTATGGGTGCCGAAGTTCGGCGGCGTCCAATAATTTAGTCGGATGAATGATTACCACTTCTATATTCGGTGATAAAAACAGTATTAAAAAGACGAATTCCAAAAAGGAAAGCATTAGGTTTCAGTATATTGGTTTCTCATAAACGTCGTGTGGATCAGAGGAGGAAGAGAGATGCTATGCTAGCCAGAGGTGACAAGTTTATAATTCTAAAGATGATATCACTCACTCAGAGCCAAATGCGTAACAGATTGATAGAAGTAGGAGAGAGGGAAGGCAGCTTAGCGTTTTTATTTGTAGTTCTCCTTTTTTCTATTTTCTATAAATCCTTGGGCAAGCCGATCATAAGTGCCTCAAGCAATTCCACACCGCCTAATTCGTGGCATGCACGCAGCAACACATGATCCACCTTGGATCTCAGTGCGGTGCTGGCGGAGAGTATCGAAGGGGAGGTGTACTCTTTGTACATATTAGGCCTGGAGTCGAGAAGGGTCCGCACACGAAGTCTTTGATGCTGCAAAAAGCGATCCACAGCGCGCTCGACGCGATCCCGATACGCGACCAGACCTGCAATGGAGAGTTCGACGTCCGCATCACGTTCGATATCACCTTCAGCATCAAGAGACCCTTCTTCTGCTTTTTCAGAATCGCTGCATTCGATAAGAGATCTGCCGGATGTGCCCTTGGATTGACTTGCCCAACTGCACCACCGTAGCGATCCTGCAGACGATGAGCATAGAGGGCAACACAATAGATGGATTTGCCTTACCTCCGTAAGGACTTGGGAAATCGTGCGTAGGGCGTTGAGCGCATCTCGATGTTGATCCGAAATCGACGCAGTATTTACTGAATCCGAGGAGTTTACGTTAGTAACGTCTTGCAGTGGTGGTGTTGTGGCATCGATCGTAAGGCTTTCGTGCGTGTGGCTCGGTTTATGAGGCAGCAATGGATTCGCTCCATCACAGATCAAACCTACTTGCATAACACAGACCTCACTTGCGCCCACATAGATCTTCTCCGATAAAGCTTCATGAGTGGATGTGGTCGAGCTGCCATCTGGTCTACATCTAGGAATTTTATACCCAGCTACTCCGTCTTCACATTTGCTTATATCAACTTTCCTCTGCGATGCCTCCTCTGAATAACAGCGGTGACGGGATAAATTCCAGCATTCACCCGCAGCATCGTCATCTACATCGATATGGAAGACTGGGGGCATCGCAGAGCACGGAGGGCACCGTGGAGAAGCATACGCCGCCGCCGGCTGCACCTCCACAGAATGTTCCCACTTCTTCCCAGTAATGGGGCTCGAGCGCGCGCTCTTCCTACTTTCCTCACTTGCGTCTTTCTGTAAGTCGCCGTCTTTTTCAACCATGTGGCACGATGCCGACCTCCGCAACTCGTGGGGCAGCGTGCGAAAGGTGGAATCACACATAAATCCTGGAGTCCATGGGGAGTAATGTTTTCCATTTTTCATGTCTTTTCGGACTTTTACAGAAGAGAAACATTCACTATCTTCCCTTTGATTCTGTCTCGTGTCCAGAGAGGTTTCAACGAGATTGTTTCGGACGCGTTTACACCTTGCAGCCAAACCGTAATTCTTCGCCCTTAACTCTTGTTGCTCCCCAGCACCACAATAATTATGGTCGCTTGTATTGATCAACCGGCTGCAAACCATCCGCTGTTTGTACTTGCTCCGATCAGTGGGGTCCTCTTCAGCACCGTTAACATTAACAAACACCGTCGAGAGAATTTCCTTGCGAAACTCACTTTCTTTTAACTGCTGGAGGGAGCTTTTTTGCGTTTCTTCCCCGTTCAGGCACGAATGTTTTGTCTCCACACACCCTTGTTCCTTTATTTGGTTAGGACCCCCGTATGCATATCGTACTACAGCCGTATCCGACACCACAGGCAGAAGCGGTGGGGAGTGGGTAGGAGCCACAGAACTCCAAGAGTCACTTTTGTAGTTGCTGACACTTATTTTGGATCCAAAATGAAATCCAAGCGGGAACTTGGCTCGTATGAAGCGCCGATGCAATGCTACGAGCGACCAAGAAGGATTGCAGTGATGCGAATTCCACTCTTGATCAGTATGATTTTCATCAACTTCTTGCGTTACCCCGTGGTGAAGCCCCCGCGATGTGCTTTCAACTGCCGACACACTCAAAGCTCTATTAGATACGTTTGGGAAATCCTTTTCCAACTTGTTGTGATGAAATGACGTGGCGGTCAGTTCCAAAGGCTTCGAATGTGATGCCGGGGACAACGGGGGGCCTGTAAGGGTGAACTTTGCGCGTAGATCGAGAAAAGTCTCGGACCAAAGCGTACGAGGTAGTAGAAGCTCCAGCGCTTGGAATGTCGGATGTTGATATGTGACGAACTTGCTGTCTACCGCCATCTCTATGAGTGTGTATATATGTATGTGATTCTATGCTCCCTTATTGACTTTTAGTGTCCTAAATGAAGGCAAACAAAAAAACTAGTCTCTAATGTTCGTATCAATTTTAATTGTTTGCTTTGACATTTTTGGAGCTAATGTGACGTGCCAAGTTACTTCTTGACACAACACTTCCGCGACTTCACTTTGTACTGGATGTCTTTAGTGTGAATCCAGGTCGTTTAGATAATTCAGCACAAGCAAATAAATATGAAGTAAAAGCTGGCGTGTCATGCAATACACATGTACATATCCGTGACAGTGCTGCACTACACCGTTAGGACTGATAGACAATTAGTCATGAAATTTTGTTCCTCTTGGATTTGATTTGTTGTCATTACATTGGAAAACCCCTTTTTTTTCCTGAGGATGTGTCTTTGGCAGAAGTGAGGCTCTCATTCCCACCCATGTATCTTCACCATTCGGAGCGCACAAATACAGACCGAAAGGCTTCCTGTTTTCGACTCCATTTCGGGGCTTGTTGCTACTACAGCGACAGTTATTACATGCAGCACTCCAGTCATCACGCAGACGAATCATCTCGGGGCAACGGAAGTCGTGCCTACCCTTTGAATCTACTGATACCGCAGTGGCTATTCTGATATTGTGAGAAAAATATTCCTGTACACCTTTAGGGTTATCACTAGTCTTCTTGTACACAACATGGAAGGTTTTGAAGCAAGACGGCTGTTCTACGCGCCTTGAAATAGAGTTCGATAGCACCACTGGAATTAACTACTTCGACCACTATTGTTATCGAGTTCGATCGTGATACCGAAGTGAAACGACTTCCGATCATACTTGGAAAGTAGTCACCATTCGGGGTGCCCTCCACATCGATCACGATGCAATCAATGAAATAATTCAAAGCAGCAAAAAAATAAAATCACGACTACGAACAACACCGGGGGCATTGTATTCAACTGAAAAGAGATGACACATGGCTCTGCCATTTTTTTTGTTGAAAGACGCGTTGAACATGTGTGTGTGTGGGTGATTTAGACCATCTTGGAGCTCTTGGCTGTAGTGAGACTCGATGTGTAAAGGCTTAGGTTTTTTTTTCTGTAGCTAGTATAACTTTGCACACGCAGAAGACGACATCCATACTAAAAAAAAGGATAAAAGATGCCAAGAAGACGCCTGATTGTTGTATCCGTTGCAGTTTTGATTTCCAGGTAGTGCCGCAACCACGTGTCACAGCCACTTTTCACCACCTCACAAATATCATCCACCGAAACTCACTAGAGTTATCACATAGAAGGAGCTGAGCTTGAAAAGCATCATCTAGAGCCGCAACAATACTAACGCGTTGCGTGCATGGATTTAACAAGTTCAAAGCGTCCCTAATGGAGTCGTTACGATACGGTTCTACATTTAATAGTCTCAATTGTGGCTCAGGTTATCTAAGGCACTATTGCCGAGCCAGAAAAATAAAAATAGGGAAGTACCCCAAGCACAGCCTCCCAATGTCAGCGCACATTTTTTCACAGCCATATCCTTTGTTAATGTATCATGTCGTTTTTTGCTTTTGTCAGGGGCCCCTCACTAGCCTGAGTTGACTCCCGATGTTGGTACCCATTGCGCACCGCACGTAGCGCACAGGCAATGACAAGAA